GGGTTGTGGATGTGGTCGATCGCCTGGTCCAGGTAGTAGTACCAAAGGAGGCGCCACCGAAGAGCCCCGATCAGATGGAGGGTGAACCGAGACAGGAGGCGAGACGGGTGCACTGTGCGATGTGGCACGAGGTGGTGTACGAGAAGTCTGCTGATCTGCCCGTGCTCTGCCACGATGAGTGTTGGAGTGGCAGGATCTGGATCGTGTTGGTGGGAGATTGGAAGTGCGATGACGCTCCTGTGGAGTGTGCAGTTCCCGAGGCTCTCGCTGATGTGTGCGGGAGCGGTGACGTCGAGGATGTGAATGGCGACTGTGATGGTTATCCCGTCAGGAGCGTGATGCTGCAGGTGATCGGCGTCGATGTTCACGGTGTCGGCGAGAGTGGGCAGAGCGGCTCCTGGGAAAACGACGTCGATCATGATGTCGTGTAAGTGGGGAACGCGTCGTCCGCGAAGTGCGATGGTCGCGGGGAGAAGGTTGTCTGGTGCGTGGTCGCGGCGCATATGGATTGTGAGGTGGTGGGCCCGTAGCACGAGGGTGAGAAAGTGGAGGTCGTGGGCGAGGTGCTTGAACACGTGGTGGTGGAAAGAGTGGGCCGGTAAGATGTGTGGGTGGAGTGGGTGGAGAGGCTGGCGTGGATTGTGACCGAGGGAAGGGAGACAGGTGAGGGCGAGGATCTGATGGTGGGGCTGAAGCAGTGTTGTGGTGAGTGGAGTCGCCCGTGGCGGCGTCGGAAGGTGGTATTGGATCTGGAATGCCGCGTGCAATTTCAGTGCCGGGTGGTGGGTTGATGGAAGGCAGGGGAGTGTTCTCTTCATCCCCATAATCAGCTTCTTCATGGTGAGCAAGAGGCCTGGTATCCCTGGAGCGAGAACTGCGGCCAAGGTCACGTCGTGAATGAGGACGAGTGGATTCCGGAGAAGAACCAGAGCTCGCCATGAGGTCAGAAAGCGCCCGGAAATAGAAGTAAATAGAAGTAAATGGATTGGCAACACAAATTGTGAGTGAAAGGATCAGGAAGAAAATCATCATGTGAAGATGTTTGTCCCGAAGTCTAGAGCCAACGGGAAAGTGAAGAAAAGGGGAAGAACTTGAAAATACAGAAAGGTGCAGGAAAGTGTAAAAAAACAGGATACGAAGAGTAAGACAGTCTTTTCTTTTCTTTTCTTTTTGTTCCGCCGGGCAGGGTGTGAGGTGAAACTGAGAAGCTAAGATCTGGTCGACCGAGGGCGAGAGCGAGATCTCGAGCGTATGTGAAGACGAGGTCGTGGTACATGGCGAGAGGGCGGAGGATTATAAGGAGAAGGCATCCGGGTAGTGGTGTTATGAGTTCTGGTAGTCCTCGATGAAGCCGTAATAGGTTCAGGAGTATCAGAGCGTGTAGAGAGGGATGCACGATCGCCAAAGTCTGTGCGGCCTTCCAGTTCGTCTTCAAGTTGTTCCGGACTCTGTTGAATAATATGAAGAAGGCCCAAGGCGGTGAGGCGGTGTGATTGAGGCGAAGGGCAAGGAGGAGTGTATTGTCCAAGCCTTCAAGGTGAGCTCGAAGTTGTGGGTGGGTCACCCGCGACATGAAGGGAATAGTGCGAATGCTGGGTGGAATTTGCAGCAGTGAATGTATCTGAGCCAAAATGACATGTACAAGAAAAAGTTCACGATGTAGCATTGCTGGAGGCCGAGGTGGAAGGCCGTGAATCGGAGCTAAACCACAAGGTGGTGTAGATGCCGAAGCCATGGTGGAAAAGAAAGCAAGAAACGTGGGAGCGAAACGAGCGGTCGCTAGCGAGCCCAAGGTAACAGAGGGGAAAAATTGGAATCAATGTCGGCGAGAACCTAAAGGATCAAAGTGACAAACGAAAGGTTGGTGAGTCCGAATTCAGGGTAGAAGGAATGCTTTTTGTACTGCACATACTATGGGTGGTTCGGTTGGTGAAAAATCAGCTAAAATCGGAATCGTCTCGGAGGAGATCGTGACCGAGAAGGTGAATGAGAACGTGGCATCCTCGTCGAAGTCGTGGTAGGAATCGAAGGAGTCAGAGAAGGAGGGACTTGAGGAGGAGAGGGATCCGTAAGTGTAGTCGTCGTAGTCGTCAAAGGTGGAGAGGGAGGAGAGGGAATGAGGATAAGAGAGGGTCTGGGTGAAGAAAAGGATGTAGGGTTCAAACCGAGCGGCTACCAGGATGTGGAAATCCCAAAGTGGAGAATAGTTCATCAGTGTAGACCAGTGTAGTGCAGGTAGATCGCCGAATCTGGTCAATGCAGGTCTCCAGGGCACGAATGGTGGCACTGAGGCGAGGGCTTGTAATCGTGTCCACAATAGAAGGGGTGACGGTATCCCAAGGCCCACGTAGGATCAGAAGAATCAAATGTAGAGAAGAATGTATGTGAAGAAGTTCACGATGAAGCACTTCATGAACTGCAGAAGGTAAGCCGGCGATTGGTGCCAATCCCGAAGGACGAGTCGAGGTCGTCGTGGATGGCGTTGACATGGCGGCGAAACGAGGAGAGACGTACGAGACCGGAAAGGCGTGGAAAAGGCTAAAAGCCAAAAGGGTCGAAAGTATTGGGTCAGGAGTATGTGTCGCAACGTGAAAACCAAGGGGCAGCATCAAAGTGTGGGTGGACATTTTTCCGTGAGTGGCAAATTGAGGAACAGAAATGTTTAGGTATTCCTCGGATAGGTACGGGGGTGAGACCTAGAACGTGAACGGGCGGTGCTGGATCGTATCTCAGCAGTAGAGACGCCGGTTCGAAGTGGTAACCACGATACTGGGCGCATGACGACCCGTAGGAGTCCTCGGTGGTGGAATCGTGGGTTCGGCCGGAGTAGAACTGGTAGATGTCATACTTCGAGTCATGGTGGGGCCCAAAGGAGAAGCGGGAAGAGGAGGGAGGCGAGGGTCAGGAAAGGTCGAGCGTCCACGTAGTTCGGCATCAAGTTGAGTAGTGTCGCAATTCAAGGCGTGGATCATCCCAAAGGTGGTGAGGAGTTCCTGAATGTAGTGCACTCCAGTATGGATTGCCTGAGTCGCTTGTCGAATCGCCGAGTCAAGACCTCGGATTTGCACCTGAATATGTGGTGAGGTAATGTAGTCCATGAAGGAGGGGGAGAGGATAGCAAAGCGGGTACGGAGGAGTGAGATGGCGAGGATCAATACACCATGTAGGTGAAGAATTTCTCGGTGAAAAATAGTCTGGGCCTTCATCGTGATGCCGTCCACGGGGTTGAGACCAGCCGGAGGAGGAAACATGGCAGAAAGAGGGAGCGGAGTGACTGGGAAACTAAGGTTCCAACAGGTTCCAATGAACCTTGAACAAGCTTCGGTCGCTGCGAACACGTACGGCTTGCCCGAGGGCTGCCACCTTTGACCGCTGCGGTCACGTAAGGGCGTGAGCCAACTTAGAGTTCCAAAGATGGGACAAAAATCATCGTACGTACGGCCTAGGCCACCTTCGCCCGCTGTGGGCAGTTACGTTTCCAGAGCAAGGGAAACAGCGACGTACACCCGTTCGACGGGTCCACGGGAGGCACTCTGCGGGCTCATCCCGGGTTGGCACGAAGCCATGCGGTGCCACACGCCGGCCTAAGAGACCCAAATCCTGAAAAATCAGGGGCAGGGGACCAGAGTTCCTGTAGTTAAAGGCCACGAACCGACGAGACGACAAGTTGACGGCGTTCCGTGCATGTCTGCAGCAACTAATGAGGGTCTTGGCTTAGCCTCTTGCCATGCGGAAAAGGAAAATGACGGCATCCAGCATGGCCAGAATCCATAATCCCTTTCCCTTGCGGGGTTCCAAGGGGTTGTTGTCATTCCGTGGCAGCCCATGACCAACAGCAAGTTCTGCCCAAACTGCTCGCGAAACCACCATTCAGGTTGGCCACTGCGGTCTCACTCGTAGTTGTTCGGCTCTCCTTGGGGGCAGTCCTCAAGTTGCTCTCCGGAGACTCTGCCAGACCCGGCTGCACAGTCCAGTCCACCTCAGTAGTCGACCAGTCGTCGATTTTCCCGCCATCGCTTCAGCACGTGCATCAAGAATTCCCATCGTATGGATGGGAACGGAAAGGCGCGTTGAATTGGTGAGCTTGAAGGCTGCAATTGCCCACAGGCGATGTCGAGGCTAATAGCTGCGGCGGTTCATGCAGAGATGCATCACAGTTTTTTGATGACCGTCAGCTCGGCTCGGTTTGACGTCGGCTGCATGACTTGACAGGTCGCAACGCGCTTGTTGTTGCTCATGATCTCAATGATCTAGGCCGAGGACGTCAGCACGCTTTCAAAAAGGCGTTCCAACTTCCAGTTTGCAATTCGGCCTGGGCCCAAAAACGTCTGTGGGTCCATCCAGGCCATCCGGGAGGATCACTATTTTTTCCCTCAGCCCTCACGCGCGCTATATACGCTATTCACAGGCCCTTAGGCGCGCAAAGCTAGGCGACTCGGAATGCCCCAAGTGTGCCGAGACCTCAAGGGGTCTCGGCGGGGCATGCATAGCGCGCTCAGGGCGGCAACGCCAAGGAGGCCCCACCAGCGTGGCGCAGCCGCAGTGGACAGCGGGCGGCGCGCGCCGGGCGCGGAGGCGAAGGAGGCGGCGCACGAAGGCGAGGGACGCCGCATTCCAGCGACCGCCCGCCTTACTCGCGAGGACGAGGAAGCGCTGTGGCTCTTGTAGGCGCACTGTATGGTGGAGGCGGAAGGTTTATTCCACCAGCACGTGGGTTGCCATGACTCTTGGTTCCAACGGTTTGAAACGGACTGCCAGCGCCAGGCCAGCCCTGCGAACTCCATGCAACGGTTCCTGAAGGCTGACTGGAAACTGGAAACCTTGTTCGGTAATGGTTCCACTGCCATTCGTGCCAGCCACGGGCCCATTAGTGACCAGGTAGTCAAGCAAGAGGGTCGCCGATATAGTGGCCGCCGGCTGCCCAGGCTGAAGTGAGTCGTCGTTGACGTCCCGTCTCCATTAGCTTATGGCCCAACTTGTTCTGAAGGTCCGGTCGGGGCCTCTGGAGGGGAAGAAGTGGAGATCCCAATCATCCCTTCGCCAGCGGGGCACCAGAAGCGGCGCTACCAGAACCATCACCTGACCATCAGTCACCACGCTCCTCTTGCCTTGTGCCTCCAGGCTTTCCATGGAGACCTCCAGTCCCAAGCAGTCCGTGAAGTCACTGCCGGTGGTCCGGCGGGAGGCAACTGGCAAACTTCCCCGGCTGTAGTGTTGGGCGCTGCCCCGAGATGCGATGGATGGCGGGATGTTGGCTGCCGCCACCTGGTTGGCGACGTGGGCGAACTTGTTGGTGCTATCCTCATCATCCAGTAGAAGTTGCAACGTCTTGGCTGCGAGGCCGGAGGGCCCGGGCCCGGTAACACGCCTTCTTGCAAGCGGCAAGGATAACAGCTGACCTCGTCCATCCTTGCTGAAGAACAACCATACACACAACTAGACCGACTGCTGTTCACTTGAATGGTACCTTTGTGCTGCTAATGATGCATTATTCAACCTTTTTTGGCATCACTCGCATCACCAACGCCCTTGTATTTAAAGATGCACTTCGATGGCATGTTGGCCACCCCTTTATGCTCGCTCCCCCCACCGGCTCACCCTAACTGTACGCTAGAATCGAATTCTCGGCGGGCCTTTTTAAAGCACTATGCTTTGCCGAAATCTGAGCGAGCTGCGCTACAAACGCCGTCGGCACTGCAGCAAGAATCCAGCATCATGGCCTGCATCATTTCCATTGCTCTTGCTGGCTGGAGGGGAGTTCGGATAAATGCCCTTATCCTGTGCCACCCAACCCATGAGTCCAAAATTGGCGATGTTTTTCTCTCACAAGACTTGTCGTGTTGTGTCGTTGTGCCGTTGTGGAGCTGCCTGACACGGCGCGATGGTGGACGTGGGTAAGGGCAGTGAAAAATGAAAAAGGACAACATGCCAGTAGAACGGAGGCAGCCCTCCGAGTATCACTGAGCTAGCCTAGCGAGGGTCAGCTGCAACAGGGCAGGTGCTCGAGGCCAAGGAGACGGCGTGACAGGTAGGTATGTACACGCTGTTGGTGGGCCGCGCAGTGTCTGGGCAGAAAGGGCCAGCGGCTTGCGCCATGCGGCCCGGGTCGGAAGACAGAGTGCCAAGCCAAACCATCCATGAGGGGAAGGTAAGAATTCGAAAGCATGTTCCTTTCTAATCACCAATCATGCACGCTTGAAAATAGCCCCGAGGTGACCATTGGAGCCACACTCATATGCGTGCTTTTCACGGCTGCTGCGTGCCACATGGCCCAAGCTCCTACCAACAAAGGCAAAACGATCGACACTGTTGGAACGGCTAAACATTTCACGCAACCCCTACCCCGTTCTTTACCTTGCAACGGGGGGCTTTCTGGTTTCTAGACTTGAGGCCGAGGGTAGGTGACGAAAGCTAGCAGGGATGCACATCCGTGTCAGTGGAGGCGAAGCATACAGCGCAGTCCAACGACAAAGGACTGGTGTCCCAGAGGCGTCCCAGAATAGAGTTGAACCCGCGCGGGGGGGGGGCTTTCTACATATGCAGTTTTCACGTGATGCGGCGATCTCGAGGATTCCAGCCCCTCACTTGCTAAAGCAAGGACAACTCCAGCTAGCTGGTATAATTCGAGTCACCAATACATTCTCTATATTATCCCTTTACGGATGGTAAAAAATTAGATCCGGACAACCCTCATGAAGGCTACCCTTCGTGATTCGTACATCTCATCTTTCATCTCTTGGGGGAGGCTCTCGAGCGAGCTCATCAACGCCTGGTGTTGTGCATGTGCCGAATAACCAGAATGGCCCACGTGAGTGTTGCGTGCTTCATGAAGTACCGGTTGCTTTTGTCCTGCCTTGTCCCGCTGAATGCTTGCTCCCGAACAGGAAGACTGTCGAGTTTTTCGAGACTTGAGTAGCCGCCCATTTACCTCTCCGCCAGGAGACGGGAAACCTTGCTTGTCTCACAAGGAGTCTCCGCACTGTTTTCTCTCCTCCGCTGGATGGCCGTCATCTCCACTTCTCCGACTATACCCGTGGCAGTCACCACATGATACCCCGCTTGTCTGCTTCTTTGTCTTGCCGCGCGGTGGGCAAAGCACACACTTAGCAACTGCTCACAAGGCTTGTCTCCTTGTTTCAACTCGCCTCACAGGAAACATGATGTGGTTTCAACTGTTTCGGGTTTGTTGTTTGGCTCAATTTCAAATTTGATGGTTTAATCTTTTCTGTGAAAGCACCGCTCACTTAGACTTCTAACACATTGATGCTCTATGTCTGTGTGTGTGTTCATTCGTGCGTTCTTGTTGCGTTGCTGTTTCTTGGTCGTCAGAGCAGACGAAACCAAATCTGCGTCCTGAGTTTCTTGCAAGACTACCTGGGAGGAAAGGACGTCCACACAGAGCATCTCAATTCGACTCGACCAATATTCAGGAACCAATCCTAAAGGCACGGTTCTTGGCATGTTTGAGTGAAACTCTGCCCACTTCGCCTCCAAGTCACTCAACGAGAAAGGCACCTGTCTGTGTGAATATTCGTAGATGAGTGCCCCATTGCACGCAGGAAGTTGCATTCTACCCTTTCGGATGTGAAAACTGTGCGCCAGAAACGACCGATCCTGAGCCCGCGGTTTGCCAATTGAAGTTTGCAAATGCAGAAGAAGACCCATTGAATCCTGACCCCCACCTCAGCACTCAGATTGCCCGCAAGGGCGAACTTAGTGGTGCAAGAGGGAGTAGGCCCAGGAGGCTGGCTGCAGGACGCCTTTGTCAGATTGCTAAGGCAGGATTTGCCCGGTCGTTGGAGCTGGCAGCGGAATACCAAAGCAAAGGACCGGTTGCAAAGGCTCGCTCCAGCGTATGTAGCAAGGGCTCACCAGCTGCACCAGCGGGTGATGGCCAAAGCGTGCCAATGCGTTCCCAGAAACACACTAACCTCATGGCATAGACATTACAATGATGAGCCTCGACGCAAATCAAACGCAGCAGGACCAAGGCTTTGTGCCAGAGGAAGTGGCTCGTTGCAAACAGCACCATTCAACTTGTCGATGCCTCGAAACTTCGGATGAGGAAAGCGTATGGTTGACGTTGCATGGGTGGGAACGAGCGTGTCACAAAATTTGTGGCGTGCTGTCGTCGAAACCCAGCAAGCTCACGGACTTTCTTGGGGTTCTTATTCTATGCGGTTGTCAGGGGTGTGCCCTCTATCTTTCACTTGACTTTTCCCACTGTTGCGTTGGTTGAATAACAACAGATTCGCTTAGGTGGATGAGCAACAAAAATTGCCGGTCAACATCCTTCTATGAAGCTTTCTTGCCAACTTGAGGCTTGCCATCAGTGAAAAAAATGTCACCAAAACGTACAACTACTTTCTGGGAGTCCGGAGTCCACATGTCCAAAAGAGAATACAATCACCTCTTGGCAGAACTTGGGGAGAGAGCTGCAAACTTGCGTTGCGCGGCACAGGAAGACCGCAGGCTGCAACGTGGAGCGAGTCAATGCCGTTGCCAACGTGGTTTCGAGTCCAATTCTGTCAACAACGACGTCGGTCTTGGGATCGATGTGAAACGATGATTTCTCTGCCAGCGCGGAGAAAGATGAATAGAGCAATCTGGATCGGACAAGCTACATCATCCACAACAATTCCCGTTCCATGTGGGTGACATCAATGTCTTCAGTAGAACAACCATCTTTACTCGCAAGATTTGTTTGGTTTCGCACAAGAACTGTTGCTCTCATTTGAACTCAGGTGCATCGAAAATCCTGAGACAGAATTCTGCTACGAGCCAATAAGTCAACCGGTCAAGGGTGAGCAGATTCCAAAGATTGCGTTTCTCCAGAAAGTACAGTAGTTGTCTGATAGTATTCTAGTTTTTGTTCTGAAAGTGTTGATTCTAAAGAGTAATTCAACAAGCTGAGCACGGACTCCAATCAGGCGGAACGTGTTGGGGCTTTTTGTCACAGGTCTAGCAGGCAAATTACTAACCTCGTCAGACTGGTGATGTTACAGCGCTCGTTTATGGTAGTCAGTCGCAAGAGTCGTAACCCAGCTATGGATGGAAGGGACTCATTTGCTACATATCGGCGTTGCTTTCCAACGTGAAGCTAGTCTGTGGTGCTGATCGTGCCAGGGTGAGATACAGGTGACCCTGGTGGGTTATATAAATTAGGGGCGGTTGCACTACTGGAGCCAGGAAGGTGTGTCAGCAAATTGGTGAAGCAGCAACTGAAAACAGGGATGTGGCAAGGAGACAGCGATGCTCTTTAGAAGTAAGCGAGCTCCAAAACTGTGTAGGCCCATTTGCACACAAAGTCGGCTTCCAAACAAGCTTCTGGGCCGGGCCATCGAATCCACCAGCGGACAAGCACACAAGGGAAAGCATTGCCACTTGGGTGTGTTGACGTACTGACCGCCCAACGCAAGGCAATACAGTGGGCATGGCCGTTAGGCTCGCTGATCAACGTTTGACTATGGTCTGCCAATGCGTGCGTGCTTTTGCCAGTTCGTGCTTGGGTATCTCTTTCCCGTGAAAGGGGTTCACCCACCCATCAGAACTGGAGAAACGTTCAACGTCTGACAACTGCAGAAACACAGAAGAATGATCGTCCTCGAGCCGCCTGAGTCAGGCCTCTGAGCGCCAGGCCCTTTGACGGGCCTGTCGCAGCTCTACTCACATAGTGGACTCAACCTGGCATGCTATCGTTGGTCACCCAGAGTCACCCAGCCACAAAAGTGAGGCCATCACTTCTAGGTTGGGGCATGTTGAGGCCATCGAGGATAGAAACAAAGAAAGGAGAAAAGGAAGAAAGGTGTAATATAGTTTAGTGCGGGCCTCTTGTCACCCAGGCCAGAATCAGAAAGAGCTTTGTGCGATGAGGTCCCATGTGTCACGCTGCAACTACCCTTCAAAAACTGGGTTGTGTTCATGTCAAAATATGCTTCCTCACAAAAGGATAGGCGAGGTTTGCCAGTCACACTGAGGGAAGACTTGCAAAGGGAGAGCTGATTCCTTCGTGTTAGGCCGGGCGGGGGAGGCCGGTAGGCCGGTCGTAGGGATGGGCTAACAAGTAAGCTAAGTAAGTAGGTTAAGGACTTCGGCTTGGACGCAGGCTAGGGCCTAGGGCTCAGGCTTAATGATTCGTTCCTACAGAATTCTTGCGTAAATTTATGTCACTTCCTTCCTTTCATGTTTCATTGTTTTTCATGTCTATTGCTAAGGTTCTTCGTATCACAGTCCCATGACATGCAGTTCATCAAACGTGCGCCAAACCGAAGACCCCGCTTTTGATGCTTTGGCTAACACAGAATCTGAAGAATCGAACCGAAGGAGTCGAGAGAAAAGAGCCCAGACTGCAAAATGTGCTTTGCTTGG